ACACATCCACATGAACCTGTAGCATTTGAGTCAGTGGATCAGTGATTGTCTTCTACAGTGCTATTCAACACCAAAGAAAAGATGTGTCCTTCTTCTTCACCACGCACATCAGGATTGTTCTTATCTTGCAACATGTGAATCATCAATCTTCAATATTCCAGATGAACTTGCGGTGTGATTCCATCAATCATGTTGTTACCATGAAATGTTATGATCTACTCTAGCTTGGATAGGAAGAATACAATGGAAGTACTATATTCTAAGTGGATAGTCAGTATAGTACAGGTCTAATTGGATCCATCTCCAGGAAGAAAGATTTAATCTCAGAAATAGAAATTTTCACCGACCGCTCACTCAAATAAATGTTTGCAGCAGTAGGACAACCCGCCGATGGAATCGAGCCTTCGTCGCATGCACCAACTCAAATCATCAAAGCATCAAAGCATCAAAGCAGTGGAATCTGCCTAACATTTGCTTTAGACCATAAGAAAAGGCACAAGATACATGTTTTGTTTGCCATGCTCTTCACTTTAATCAAGTCACCAACAGCATCCTACAAGCTAGGCTATGAGGAGGGAGTGAACGATTCATTGTGCCGATGAAACCTTGGGGTGAATGTGATGTTGGCGGACAAGGTCAAGCCTGTGGCATTTGTCCCTTTGCTCATATTTCTATCAATTCATCTGCATGATCAATGTCAATGCATGTTGTCCTGTCTGTTTCTTATGCAAAAAGGTCTCTGATTACTTCACCAATGGGCCCTCCATGTGCTTTGCTTTGCAGTGCAGCTTCATTTTAGGGTTCTAGATTGATCCTAAACAATGATTGTCTTCAACTTTTATGGCTTAAAGTTATTTTCTGCTTCTTTGAAGATTGGATGCATACACTGCATATTCTCTCCAAACTCCACTTGAATAATCCTGTGACTCATCTTCTTACTAAAGTTAACTTGTGATGTGAGCACAACAGCAATAAATTATATAGTGACATGCATATTTTTTTTATGTCTTCAACCAAAGTGAAAGAAAGTTTGTCAGGTTTTACTTTTCATGTGACATTAAGATAGCAAGATTTTTATTAAGATAGCAAACTTTTGGCTGATTGTCGGAAATCACTAATCGTGACTGTATTGATTTATAATTAATGAGTAAAATACCATTATGCTCGAGTGCTAATTTGCAAGTAATCGAAATTAATGTCAACCATCTTGCCAACATGATGCTACTGGACTTTGATTATCTCATCCTATATATTTGAGACCAGATTATACTCTGTCCAGTGTAAACATACTGCCTGATCTAATATTGGTAAGTGATATCCAAGTCAAATTTTGATCAGTAGAAATGGTTATGGATATACAATTTAGAAATACAAATTTCATGATCATTTTAAAGAAACTTGGATGAACAAAAAATATGATGTGCAGCAGAATTAGACAAGCATATCAGCTTTTAAGATGGATATGAATACAGCTAGTATGTATGTGAAGATTGAGGCTCTAACACAAAGCAATCAAAGCAAGAAATTGTGAAAGAGAAGGAAGGATAATGTACATGCAAAGTTGAATCAAGTGATGTATTTCCTTGGATTAAGATATGTAGATCATGCTGATATATTCAATCCATAACTTCATTCTGATATGAAATGGATTACACCTTTATGTAACATCCAATTTCATGAAACAAGTTCAGAGGGAAGTTTCCTACACAAATTCATAAACCTAAGTTTTTAGTTGTAGTTGGCATCACATATGGTCAATTATTAGCATAAATTATTGTTTCTGATATCTATAAATTATTTCCACAAGATAGAACTGCATGATTAGTGGATTAGCAAAAGAGTAACAATTAATCTCCTTGTCTAGAATGATAGAATAGAAGTGCAAATCCATAATGATCAACATGTGGAATAATATCATATGTTTTGACTGTCTAAGCTTTGCTCCTCGATGGGGCCAATCATGGCAAAGGTTAGGAGGCACAACACATCTCTCTAAAGCATGGCAAAGGTTCTTTTGGTCGGTGTCTCCCAACAATTATCTTCTTTGTTTGCAATACAATATTGTGCACACACTCCATATCTGTGCGGCTGCCACACTCCCCAAAAACCATCTTGATGTTGGCATATACATAGAATACTTTCATTAGTGTTCAAGCATCCATCCTGGGGAGACCTCACTAATTTTCATTGATGAGGATGGTGGGTGAGATCATGATGATATTAATCCTTCAAGGGAGAGGATTAGTCACTGCATGTTTGTCTTACATCTTTGATGGTATATCCTTTGCAGAATGAACATGATGTGAAGAGAGAAAGAATAAGAAATGGCCATAGTAGTGTTTAAGAGAAATGCTTTGTGAGAATTGATACTGCTTTCCCTCAAGAGAAAGAGAAAGATCAAATGCATCCAACAGATGCAGCATCTTCTTCTTCTTCTTCTTCTTGAGTGCAATATGTCATCATTCCACACCAAGTGGGGCTTGAACACTTCCAAAAGACCCCACCATTACCTCACTTGCATGCACTTTGCTCCCACTTCTCCCATGCCCTTCCACGAGGCTCAACTTTTCTTGTCCCAGCCAACCCACACATCTCTCTTGGATCTTGCAGCCATTTCTTCCCACCAGGAACATGGAGACATGGAAACTTCTCCTCCCAAAACAGCTGCTGTCCAAGGATGCTTGGCTGCTTCACATCCTTTGATGTCCGGGGTGGCTGATAAGACTCCATCAGTCATGGAAGGTTGGAGGAGCACTAGACCACCACTGAACCATCCTTACACAAAATATCCCCCACTTGCCTAGGGTTGGGGATGCTTCCACCAACATAACAAGCTAAACCCTATAAATCTCAGTGTATCCACAATCTATCTATCTAGATAGTTGCGAGGGCATATGTGTGTGCGCTGTCTCACCCTTGCATGACTGATGTGACTCTCATGGGCTCATACAATGGCAAAGCAAGCATGGAAAAAACCCTGTATTAAGGTCAATATCTAGCTCTTACAAGTGAGGATATATAGATCTGTTCTAAAGATAACAAGAGAGTGTTGAGTGAGAATATATCCACCTACAATGCACTTTTGTAGTGTTTTGTCTTGCAAAACAATTGTTATTGTTATCTTATAGTTCTTGACATTGGGATTAGATCAGATAAATAGTAGTACAAGGGTTAATAGACCAAATTGACACACATGTTCATCACTATGTTAGTAGTTTGTCTCACTTGCATGACATCTAGTTACATGCCATCCATGTATAATGATGCGTCATTCATGTTACATAAAGTAATCAAGAAGGGAAAGATTTAGTCACAGTAGTATCAAAACACACATCACATAGATGATGCATATCAATGAACAACATTAATGAAATGATCTAAATCATTTGAATTTGTAGGGAGTAACATCATACAAAGAGTAAGGATCTTAGCAACATGAGATCCGGGAAACATTCATAAGCTTTCAAATTATGATGATTCAAGTCGCAAAGGAATAACTTTACTGTAACATCAAAGGATCATAAACTATTCCACCAAAATTTGTAGGCAAGCTGCAACATCTAATTCACACCATATCAATCTAGAATTGGCAAGAGGGTGACATGGCTGGAAGTGTTCCAAGTTTGTTCTTCTGATTCACATGCTTTCATTGGGATGCTATGTTCACTTGTGAGAAATTAAGCAGGGGTGGATCTTGTTTGGCTCTTGCTGTCATCAAGAAGAAGTAGAAGGATGCACATAACCAATCTTCTACGTGATTCACGGGTGCTCAATCCCAATTCACATCATCTTCACCAAGTCAACAAGAGCTACTTGGAGTAAAGGAATATTGGCTTCTACTTTTGTTTGTCTGATAGCAGAAACCTCAACATGGATGATCACAGTAGCCAGAATTTACCTGACTCATTCTTGGAGATGGGGAGAATTGATCCCGTGACCTCTTTAATTTGCCCAAGAAAACTGTACAAACACAAAATAGAGAAAGAGAGAGAGAGAGAGAGAGAGAGAGAGAGAGGGGTGGGGTGTTTGTTTGATAGCAGAAACCAGAAACCTCGACATAGATGATCACAGAAGGCAGTACTTTACTGATCATTGTTGGAAATGGGTGTAGATGGATCTCATGATCTTTTATTTTTCCCAAGAAATTGTTCTAAAGCGCAGACAAAAAAATAAAATAAAAGAAAAGAGCAAGAATGGATGAGAGAGAGAAGAAGAAAAAATTGTGCAAGACAGATGGAATGTTGTGGTTTGTTGTATTTTGTTGGAAGCCTTAAATGATGGATGTTGTATTTTGTTGGAAGCCTTAATTGTGCAAGACAGACAGAAAAAATTGTGTTCTTTGAAGAACACAAAGATCGTTTAGATGATGTTTGTTTTTTCTATGATGAGATAATCAACCCCAAAATTCTCTTCAAAAAAACTCAAAGACCATATCTCAGATTCTCCTGTTCAACACTCATATTCATAAAATATTATTGATTTCATAACTATCTTATTATTATTTTTTTAATCTCAAAGGTATTTGACGATCACATAAGACAGCTGACGCCTATCATCATTTTAACCATCATATTTTTAATTTATGAATAATATCTTCATTGATATTTTTATTTTATTGAATAATTGAACTAAAATAAAATATCGTCTTACAACAATTGAAATTATTTTTAATATCACCAAAATTATTCTTACAATAAAAGAAACTGAAACCAAATCATAAACAACATTTTTGCTTCCCATATTCTACAAATAGGCTTTAAAATTCTCATTACATCCTTCCAACAATTGGAATTATTTATTTACAGAATCTTCTTGGTGCAGCCTCTTTCAAGACAATCATCTTGCCTGAATTAATCATCCCTGATGTTAATTGTGTTAGACAGTTTTAAGATTCAACAGCAGTTTCAACGATGGATACCTGAGAAGTAACAATCCATACCACAGTTGCCACAAAGAGTGTTTTCATCATTCTACAGAACTGGACAATTTATTCCGTAACTATAGATTCAAGCTTCCAAAGAATTATACATGTACAAAGGTACCATTGTAACTATAGTCGTATATTTAACCTCAAATTGCTACCAGAAACAACTCGATAACAGTACTCTATTTGGAAAGAGTGATTGGGTTGTGGGGTTGCACTATCTTGTACAATGCCAATTTGATTTAATTTGAATTTTGTGAAAATAAGTACACCCTTTGGATAATTGACACGCTAGCAATCGGTGAAAAATCCGAAAATCCGACTCTCAGGCTGAAAGAATAGAGTAATATACACATGAAAAGAAAAAGAGAAGTTGAACGAACAAAAAATCAAAAGGGTGAACTGTCACAAGGGTTGTGACAGTGTGCTCATTGGAATTTCTGATGTGGTGGCTGCATTTATGTTCTGATACTTTTCTAGTTCTCTTGCAATTTGAATATCATTAGGCATGAAATACTCGGTTAGTGCCTTGGTTGTAAAACGAGGAAGCATCCCAGCTATGATGATGCCAAGCAAACATAGCCAAAATAATCCTGTTCCCATTATGTGGAAGATAGCCCTGACATGAAAATTGAGGAATCAGTAAGTCCAGGATACTCATACAAGCATCTCTCATCTGTTATAAAGCTAAATATGAAGATGCATCCCCAAGATGTCCTCTACTACAATTTTCTCTTTTTTGTGTTATGGCATTATGATGCAAATAACCTAATCAAGAACATAAAATCATTAACAAAATTCTGACAGCTTCTCAAAACTCCTAAAATGATTTGAGAACAGAACCTACTGCATGGTATAAAATCTTATGAAGTACATATTTATGCAACAGGAAGATAAGATAGGTTAGAGAAAGAGGGCGTACCAGTAACCAGGTAGCATCCATATGGAGTCTATGATGATGACACATATTACTGTTGCAACAATGCAGCCCCATATCGATGCATTGGTGATCCAGTTCCACTGAAACACATCCATGGCCAGGTGAATGTTTACTAGAATGACCACAGCAAGGGTCCATAAGTCTCCCAGGCTGGATCCATCAACAACACTCTGTCTGTATGCAAGATATGGGATGTAGAATATAGCAACGCTTTGCCAAATGGAGTCCATCATGGTGAGGATAAACAACTTTAGGTTGTATCTTTCATCCCTCTGCCCTGCCCTATAGAGTTGAGGGTACTTTATCAATGTCCTCCTGCTAAGATCCTTGTCAAGTATTCCGACAACAATGGTTGGCAAAGCAGTGTAAATCACAGAATATAGAACACTGCTCCATTCGGATATTGCAGTTGTCAAGCTATAGGCAGTGTAGAGCACATACCTAAAGTCCAAAAATGTTCTGTTAGGCATATTTGAGGATGATTGATGAGGAGTGAAATATTATATGGTAAGGAGATAGTATGCTTGACAACTTCAATATAACAAAATTGACTCTGCATGTTCTTCTACTTAGCTAATAGTTAGTAAATGGCATTTCCAATCTTCTGTTCAAAATGAGACAGATCACTTTATAAATGGTATATGTATCATACACAAGCATACACACATTGCATAAACCAAAGAAGAAAAATTGAGATACCAAGATGCCAGTTTAGGTATTAAAAGTAAATTTTCAATCTAAATCTTACAAGTGCAAGTGCAAGGTACAAATGAACCATCTAGATGGGATTCAAAAGTCAAATAATGGTCTTTAACATCTCACATAACAATCCAATATATGAAATCAAAAATTGTAGATTGTTAATGGCAACATGCCCCATTAACTAAAATTTATAAATAGTAAAATATAAGCTTAACTTTGTTGAGACGGTCATTTCTTGACAATTTATAGGAGGTAGAAGGGTGGACATCTATGTGTCAGAACATCATGGGAAAAGGGTTTAAAAATGAATACTTATAGGACATTCTGAATAAATTTTAGCAAAATTTGGATTATTGTGATAAGAAAACAGCAGCTAACTACTTCTATATTACTTGAGCCAGATACCACAAGCTCCCACTATCATCCACCTAGTTAGCTTACCTTGTTAGTAGATTAACTTGTAAGTTCAGGACAATTACTTTCATACCTATCTCTGCCTTCATCTGACTGCTTTCTGAGCTTGTAAGTGATATATTTGGTGATGTTCAGTTGCTTTTGAAACAAGGCATTCAGGTTGGAACATAATGCAAATCATTAGTGATGAAAAATGTTTCAGTCCCCAGAATCCAGAGTTACCAAACACTGTCATATATATACTCCACATTTCACTGTCCACGATAAGTGGTGTCACTCAAAGATTTGGATATTAATCTTATTTGTGAAAGGACAAGATGTTTTGAATATCAATAGTACTTATGCCCCTCATGTCAGATTGAATGATCAAACCAAACGAGAATTTTGGGAAAGCTTAGATGATATCATTTAGGAAATGCCTATAATCGAAAAACTTATAATTGGAGGAGATTTAAATGATCATTAGGGAAAACAAATGGTGAATATCAAGGGGGTGCATGGGGGCTTTGGTTATAGAAAGAGAAATGAAGATGGTGGTATGAATTTGGATTTTGGATTTTGCAACTTCATATGATCTTATAATTGTAAATGCTCACTTTAAGAGAGATGAACATTTAATTACTTATAAAAGTGATCACAACAGTAGTCAAATAGACTTTTTTCTCACTAAAAAGATTATTTGTAAGAATTATAAAATTATACCTAATGAAAGTTTGACAAATCAACATAGGTTGATGGTATTAGTTATTTATTGTAGAAAATAAAAGAAGAAAAAGATAGTAGAAAAAATTATAAATACTAGATGGTAGAATATAAAAGATGATAATGTAAATACTTTTAAAAATAAGATGGAAAGGAAGACGATTTGAAACTTAGATAAGGATAATATTAATATTATTTGGACAATGATGGCTAATAAGATTAAAAGTTTAGCAAGAGAGATTCTTGTTGAAACTAAAGGTAGAGATGTAACCTTAATAGAAAGTTGGCGGTGGTGCAAGAAAATTCAAAAAATAGTTTTCACTAACAAATCATGTTTTAAAGATTGACAAAATTGTAAAACTGAGAAAAAATTTAAAAGATATAAAGAATTAAAAAAGAAGCTAAAAAAGCGATTAGTATGACAAGATATAAAGATTATGATAATTTTTATAACAAATTAGGTACTAAAGATGGCAAAAAGGATATATATTGAATTGCCAGGAAAGAAAGTGTAAGGATTTAGATAATATTAAACGTATTAAGGACGAAGATCAAAGAATACTTGTTAATGATAACGAGATTAAGGAAAGATGAAAAATTTATTTTTTTATAAATTATTTAATGAATATCCCATACATGATTTAGATTTAATGATAAATAGTAGTGGTAGATTTAACAATTATAAATTTATTCATAAAATTAGAGCTAAGGAAATAAAAGACGCATAAAAGAAGATGAAAATAGCTAAAAGTGTAGGGCATGATGGTATCTATATTGAGATCTGAAAAAGTTTAGAGGACAAGGGAGTAGCTTAGTTAACTAGTTTATTTAATAAAATCATGAGATTCAAAAGGATACCTAATGAATGGAGAAAGAGTTTTTTAGTATCAATTGACAAAAATAACAGTGACATACAAAATTATTTAAATTATAGAGGAATTAAAATCATAAGTCATATACTATGAAAGTTTAGACAAGAGTTATCAAAAGCAGGATAAGGCTTAAAACAAATATATCTGAAAATCAGTTTATTTTTATGCTTGAAAGATTAGCCATAGAAGATATTTATTTATTAGGATAATTAATTAAAAAATATAGGGTAAAAAAAGATTTGCATATGGTTTTTATTGACTTAGAGAAAACCTAGGATAAGGTTCTTAGATATTTATTATGGTAGGTTTTAGAAAAGAAATGTGTATCCACTAATTATATTGATGTTATTAAAAATATGTATAATAATATAGCTACTAGTGTTAAAACTATAGAGAGTGCATTTAGTAAATTTTCTATTAGCATAGAATTATACTAAGGATTCTTATTAAGTCCCTACCTTTTCACATTGATAATAAATAAACTTACTAGTCACTTACACGATAGACCTCCTCGGTGTATGTTATTTGCTAACAATATGTCTTAGTTAATGAAAGCCTAAATAAAATTAATATGGAGGCAACCCTTAGAATCTAAAGGTTTTAGATTAAGTAGGACTAAAACCAAATATATAAAATGTAATTTTAATGATTTTAAAAATAGACAAGAGAATATAGTTAAATTAAATGGATTAAAAGTTCCTTTAAGTAAAAACTCCAGGTATTTTGGATCAATTATTCAATAAGATAGAGAGATCGATAAAGATATTATTCATAGAGTAAAAACAAGATGGTTAAAATGGCAAGGGGCGTCAGGAGTCTCGTGTAATCATTGAATACCTTTGGAATTAAATAAAAAAACTTATAAAATAATTGTTTAAGATGATATGGGCATATACTAAGGAGACATCCAGATATAGTAGTTAGAAGAGATGAAATAATTAATATTAATAGTACAAGAAAAATAAAGGAAGACCTAAAAAGACTTTGATAGAAACTATAATAAAGATTTAAATACTCTTAATTTAACTAAACATATGACTTTTGACATATCTCAATGATGGAAAAAGATCTATGTAACCGACTGTAAATACTTGGGACTTATGACTTTGTTTTTGTTGTATCTTATATATTACATGAGTTTCAAACTAAGGTTCACAATTTAGTATACTGATAGTGTACCTGTCATTGCTCAGACTGGTACCATAATGGTCCATACTAGTGTATAGTGCTAATACATTGGTACGTTACTAATTTTCGAGAAAAACCTAAAAAAAGTAAAAAAAAACTATCTAGTACAAAGCCTATACTACGTTATACTAGGTAGTTCAGGCACTATACCGAGGATTACAAACCTTGTATCAGATGTACCAGACGGTTTAAACCTTGAACCGGATAATATAGGCCCTCTACTGAGTGTACCACCTAGATAACTAGTCTACATATATTGGTAGACCCGTAAATACCACCTATACTAAGCAATATTGTAAACCTTGCTCTAAACTATCCTTGAGATAGCAAATTTTAATAAATTTTGCACTAGTATGATCCTTGAGCTAATAACAACTGCATGAAACAAAGCAAATACTACATAAATAGATGAAGAGAAAATATTCGAACAAGCTCCAGTAGAAACACCAAAGTTTAACTCAAGTCAATCAATTCATTTCCCATTGGATCAAATCAAAGAGAAGCAAGCAGAATGAAAAAAATTACAGGCAAAGATAAGTACTATGTCAGAATTAAGTGAAAGTGCTGAAGATATGGTTACCAGAATAGGATGAAGACAAACACGGCATTCCTGTAGAAGTTGTACAAGATCATGTAGGCCATCCTTTGGTAATTCCAATGTCCATGGACCAACAAAAGGGGCACTAAGAATCTGAACTGTCCCATGGCAAAATCAGAGGCCATTACAGCTTGCCTTCCCTCTTGACCGCTTATGCCAATCCCAACATCAGCCATTTGGATCATCGAGACATCATTTGCACCTGATATTCCATGCTAGTGAAATTTAGTCCACATCAAAAGAAATGGTATCTTAAATGGTCCCTGCATTTATCAACAAAATATTGGCAAGCTGAAGTCCATACTCAATTCAGAAACTTACCATCTCCAATTGCCAGGGTCATATCATCTGTTCGATTCTTCATAAGAGCAACAATCCCAGCCTTTTGCAGTGGAGCCACACGGCAGCACAATACAACATCACATACTGTCACCACTTTAAATAGCTGGACCAGAAAGAATAACAAGAAAAAAAATTTATTCCTAAAAGCTAAACCTCAGAAAACCAGTCTGAACATTTAAAAAGCATCTGTGATTTCTTACCTCTTCTTCCAATTCAGTCTCTAAAATGTAGACAAGGCTATTGCCATCAATTACCAAAGCTACGGCAATCCTAGAAGATCCTGTGCCTCTCAATATATTTTCACTATCAGGTGATATTGCTGCAAGTTTGCTGGACAGGGCAACTGCATCTTGCAGGCTCTTTTTACAAGACTCTCTGGAATTGCTGTTTATCACTATCTGAGTCATTTCACTCGTTAGAAGCTTACAAGAAAAGCCAATGGAAATGGCAGTTTCTTGCTTATCCCCTGTCAAAACCCAGACCTTGATGCCAGCTTGTCTTATGGATTCTATGGCTTCTGGTACACCTTGTTGCAGCTTATCTTCAATCCCAGAGGCTCCCAATATATGGAGATCTCTTTCAACATTAGATGCAACTGCCCGTAGTAATCTTCCCCTACCAATCAATTCTGTACTTGCATTCTCATAGGCAGACTGCCACTCCTCAAAATCATTTCTACTTAACTTACGCATTCCAATGACCAATGTCCTCAGACCCAAAGATGAATAGGCATTGATACTTGTCTCAGTTGCACGAATAATGTCCAAATTTCTATTTTTTTGTATAACCCCAAACATTGAGATGTCTGCACCTTTCACATACAGCTTTACTGTCTTATCAGGACAACCAATTATAACTGACATCCTCTTCCGGTCACTATCAAACTCATGAAGTCCCAAAACATCATATCTGCATATTCATTATTACACTATTACAAAATATGAATAAGCAAGTCAATATTATTCTTAAATCTTAAGACTGCCAACATATCAAGGAACTAATACAATACCAGGATTTAGACTGAATCACTTGTAAATTAAAGTCTATATCTCCAGTTTCCAAAATTTCAGATAATTATCAGAAATATTCATTGAATTGGTTTGAAGCCTCATGATAAGTATAACTAACGTTTAGCAGACCTATGTGTCAATTAATTTTTTAGAAAGTTTAGTAATCGGTGTCAAATTTTAGAAAATCTTAGTGTCTGTTAATAGGATTGTGGGGACTGAATATTCTGAACCATGGAAGGTTCTGAGACTCCTAAATAGAGTACAACTAAATCTCTATTTAGAGGTCTCATCTGCTACAGCAGGCAGCTAGCCTCTATTTTCTTCTTTTGCTGTTCTCTATTTCTCTTTATTATCAATCCAGCCTTTTCATATATTTAAATTTTTTACCATATATTATGATATTCTGTTCTGTCACTGATAACATTAGCTGAATGTATTAAAAAAAATCAGTATTTGGTATTACAATGGGCTAGCCTAACCAGTGGTTCCAGAGGCCCACAATGATGTAATGGTCACAAGCTAACAAATCTGTTAATCCAGCAGTGGTTCCAGAAGCAGAAAACTAAATCAGATAAAAGATAAGTTTAGAAATGCCACTAAAAAAGATCTATTATGGTGCAGGTAAATTAGCAATGTACCAATTAAAATAATATCTACTTTTTAGAGAACTCCACAACCTCAGTCAACAGTGCAACACAACCATTCATGACAAGAATTAATCAACTTAAATAATACCACCATCACCCACTCTTTTATTACTACCTACTCCAATATTGCCATCTAATTAACAACCGTCATAACAATCAGAGCCACAACCAACAGAACAGACAAGTAACAAGGTTACAAGCAATGCTAACAGAAAGGATACACATCGATAGCTACAACTGTAGTAATTGCTAATGAAAATGCTCCCACTATATTTATAATTTCACGGAAAGCTAAGTAACAAAGACATGCATTGAGTAAGAAAAAGGGAAGCTAAACCTACATCAGAAACTTCAACCACCACTACCTACACAATTAGTGATAAAGAATCAGAACAACGATTTGTGTCACTGTGGAGCGTAGGAATAAACTAAATAAGCAAAAATCTAGAATTTCATTCACAAGAGCAAATAATAGAATGCTAACCTTTGTCTATCCCCAAGGGCATCAATGACTATGTGCCCAGACGTGCGCTCAATAAGCACAAAACCATAGGAGGCAGCTGCATAGACAAGAGCCTGCTCATCAGGAGACTCTCCCTGATAATCTATCAACTTCTTTGTTTGGTCTGCAGTCTCCACAACAAGAGGGACAATGGTATTGCAGCATGCCAAGGCAAGGAAGAATTCACGAGCTTGCTTTCCTTGCTCGGTCTCAACTTTACTTCGCAATAACGCAACTAGCTCAGGATCTGTTTTAACTGACATCTTCAGCTTCCATATCTGATCATCCACTATCAAAAAGATCAAGAAAAGATGGAATCCTAATGAGCACAATAAGAATTACCAAATTACAAAATCAATCTGTGAAAAGGTCATCATACCTAAGACAGAATGTGTTCCACCGTTGTCCTGTAAGGCCACTTTCCCATTACTGTAATCTCTCCCTCGAATGCTTGCACATTGAAACTCCATCTTATTCTCCGTCAAAGTTCCTGTTTTGTCTGAGAAAACATACTTTATCTGCCCAAGGTCTTCATTTATGTTCAGAGCCCTGCACTGAAACTTTGAATTCGAGCTCTCATCGTACAAATTAGTATCCCTAATCATGAAATAGGCCTGCCCAAGCCTGGCCAGCTCCATCGAGATGTAGAGGGAAATAGGAATCATAATCTGGAACACGATCACCGACATGAGAAAAGTAAAGAACACCTGCATCCCGATACCATAATAGTTGTAGTTCTCGTCGCTATCGGAATAATCCCTCTTCCTAAAGAATTGGGAGAGCTCCAAATCATTCTTATGTTTACCCAACCAAATCCCATTGCAAATTGACACCACCGAGCACAGGGTGATCAGAACGGCGGACAGAAGCAGCGTCTCCCTGTTCATGTGGGTTTCCAATCGGCTCCTCTTTGAGGGTGCCCCGGAGCTATTCAACATGACCTTGGTTTCGCTGCCGGCATACACCGCGACGCCTATCGCCCACGCCGTGTTCTTGAGCTCGCAGCCGCGGAGGATGATGTTGGACGGGCCGAGAGAAACCCGCTTCCCGTCGATTTCCATGTTGGCAAGGAAGCCGTAGATGTTACGGTTGGGCCGCTCGCAGCGGATGAGGCCGGCGGCGAACGGGTGCGCGTCGCCGATGGGCCGGGACGTGGTCTCCTGCTTGGCGTATCGGGTCTTGAGGTTGGACTCGCCGTCGAGGTTGATGGTTTGGACGTAGGCGACGCCGGTGGGGTCACTGGTGGCGAGGAGGACCATGTCGCAGGGGTTGGTCTCGTCGGCGAACACCTTGAGGACCTCGCCTACACGGACGTCCTTCCAGCGCTTGGGCCGGAACTGGCCGTCGCGGGGATCAACGACCGAGGCGGCGCGGTTGTTCTCGATGCGGTCGGAGCGGTGGCGGCGCCAGTCCTCGTAGGCGTCCTTGACGGCGGTGACAAGGAGAACGAAGGCAAGGGGGAGGACGGAGGCGCCCCGGCCGAAGACGGCGAGCTGGGGGAGCTGGTTAAGGACGGCGATGACCAGGAAGTAGACGTAAGCGACGCGGTGGAACTGCTCGAAGAGGTTGCGGGGGAGGAAGGTGAAGGGGGAGTACTTGGCCGTGCGGACGGCGTTGCCGGCGAGCTGGAGGTGAGGGTCGGTGCGCCCGGGGTCACCGACAATGATCAGCCGGGCGTCGGCGTCGGCGAGCTCGGGCTGGGAGGAGGCGAGGCACTCGGACTCGGCGCGGGAGCCATGGCGGACGGCAGGGGTGGGGAGGGGGATGTCGTGCGAGGGGTGGGATGTGGAGGAGGCGTGGCGATGGGCGGCAGAGGCGGCGGAGAGGGAGAGGGGGTCGAGGCGGAGATGGGGCTCGGAGATTGGCCTGGGGAGATGAAGAGATGGGGGAGGATCATCGTCTTCATAAGCCATTCTTCTTCTTCTCCTTCTTCTTCTTCCTCTTCTTCTTCTTTGTTTGTTGTTTGTGGAGTGTTAGAGAGGGATTGAAGTCGTGGATAGTTTCAAGAGAAAGACTCTCTATGCAAAGGCGTTCGAGTCTTTGAAGGGGTAGAACGAAGACGTGGTTTTAGGGGGCGGGATGGAAGTAGGAAGTGAAGTCAATGGAGAGAGCGAGAGAGAGAGAGAGAGAGAGAGAGAGAGAGATATATATATATATAT